AACCAGCATCCGCTTCGTCGGGTCCTCGATACACCATCCACCTGATCTTGGCGCGACGCATCAGCCATCAACAGTCACGATGGCATCCAAATCAAAGTCCCACCCCCTCAATGGGATGCACACCGCCGGCATCTTCTCCGACCTCAGCGCTGATGGACCCCTCATCGGCACCCTTGTCGCCATTGTCGACCGCGCCAAGAACCTGCCCAATCGCAAGACCATTGGAAAGCAAGACCCTTACTGTGCTGCCCGTCTCGGCAAAGAGGCCAAAAAGACGACGACCGATATACGAGGAGGCCAGACGCCCAAGTGGTAAGCTCCGAAGCGGGACTGCCTTGTCGTACTTTCGCGTGTGATGCTGACCTGGCGTAGGGACCAAGAGCTTCGATTCGCTGTCCACGATTCTCCAGACTACTACCAACTCAAGGTTTCGGTCTTCAACGACGACAAGAAAACAGACTTGATTGGGGAGACCTGGATTGACCTTAGGGACATCATTGTCCAAGGAGGTGGCCAGAACGATCTCTGGCACAACCTGACCTGCAAGGGAAAATACGCAGGCGAGGTGCGCATGGAGATTACCTACTACGACACTCGACCCAAGCCAGAGAAGCCCGTGGGCAAAGCAAAGCCAGTCACTTCAGATCCACAGGACGCCCCCAAGTCCTCGTCGAGGAGCCCCGTCAAGAGACGACCCCTTCCCTCGGACCCATTCACCGGCGAGGCCCCCATAGGTGCTGCGTCTCATCCGGAGCCCGTCGCCACTCCACCAAGGGCACTCCCGAGACAGCCCAGCAGCTACATCCCGAACCAGTCTCCGCTCCAAAATGTGGAATACAACACGCCGCCACCCGCGCCACGCCACCACCAGGGGGACCCTTACGCCGTGTCCCCCCTCCAGTCCCTACCCCACACGCCTACTTCGGCCGGTCGGTACGAAAGCTACTCCAGCAGGCACGATGACAGAGAGTACAGCCCTCGTCACCAATCCCATCCTTCACAGGATCGACGTGAGCCTCGGGCTCAGCCCAATGGTCGTCGGGAGTCATATGACGTGTTCGCAGCGGAAGACGCCAGGCAGGACTTCCCTGATGATGACGATAGGCCGCCGCCGCCGCCAGTTCACCGGAGCCGACACAACAGCGGTGTCAGTGCCCAGGACGCCATGATCCGTCCAGCATATGAAACTCCGCCGAAAACTACCCCTCTGATGAGGCATGATGTCCTCAAGCATGAGGCTCATCGCCGCTCCGCCCCCTCATACCCTGGCAGGCCCGCCTTTCGCGCTTATGACTCGGCTCCCGCTGCGAACAATCTTCTGCAGAACACGCCTGAGGAACCCTCTCACCACCCATCCCCCCCTCGCCACCACTCGTACGACACGACATATGAGCCATACCGGTCCATGCAACCTACCGTCGAGGATGCTCCAGAATCTCCTTCTCAATCGGTGGGCAGTGCCCACCAGGTCGTTTCGAGAAGGTCCATACATGATGACATGGGTTATGACCAAGTGCCATCACCAGCACCTCTGAATCTCAGCGGCAGAGGCAGCGCCGCCAGAGGTCAGCGCGATCCTTCGCCGCAGCCGTCACACTCTCGTCAAGATGACTATGGAGACTATGGACGTCAGCAGCCACTGCCAGTCTCTCCCATCTCTTCAAGGGAGTATACCCACAGCCCCGGCGACGTCTCCCACCCGTCTCACAGCAGTCAGAGTCAGTACCCTTTGCACAGGAACGAGCTGTCGGGTACGGAAATCCAGGCGTACGGCATGCCGTCTGTGCCTTCATCCTTGGTCCCTGGCGTAGACCCCCTTCTGGCCCAGGAGGTCTCGGACCGGATTCACGACGAAAGACGACACGAGAGACGATACACACAGAGCGCGGCAACCCCGCCACGCGGCAGACAGCAATCGCAGCAGCAGATCGAGCCTTCAAATTACGAGTATATGAACTATCAAAACTCATACAGCGCGCCATCCTACGACTCTCAATCAATTGTCCCTTACCAAGGTAACTCCCCAGCGCAACAAGGCCAGATGGTCAGGGCTAGGAGGTCCATTTCCCCCATGCCGAACCACAACCACACAATTAAACGCAAGTCCGTCAGCCCTGCGCCACCTCCATCGGATGAGCCGGAGGGACGTCGGCTGTCAGGCGTGCCTTTTGGTCCTGATTCCTACGACCTGTTGAACCCGTCTCTTTCGGGCGGAAAGGAGACGCTCGCGAACCCTGATGCCAAGATTATTACCCATGATGGACGCGAAATCGATCCATCTGACCACCTGCCCATGGACACATGGGCCCCAGAACCGGAGCCGAAGCAGGCCCCGCCCCTTGCTCCGTCCGGACGAGCAAGGCCTGGGGGTGCCCAACCCATGCCCCCTACGGGCCGCCGGCCTCTCCGTATCGCTGGCAGACCCCATTCACAGTCAGCGGCACCTGCCCCGACATACCCTCTGCCAGATGACCCTCCCGTCACTCCACAGAGCGGGGGCCGCAACCGCCTGCAGAAGCGAACCCATCGTGCGTCTGCTCTGCCGGCTCCACCTCCGGTTGGCTCAAGCCCTCTCGCGCCCATCTCGTCACACAACCACCAAGAGAGCCTGGGAGGCGGTTTCACGCCTCCAACTCGACTCCCTCGGGCGTCGACATGGGACTATCCCAGCGAGAACCACGCGCCCCAGTATGGCAGCTCTCCTGGAGGCTCGCGCGGCGCCCCCCCAGTCCCTGACAAGATTCCTCTGCCCCTTATGAGCGGTGCCTTGACGCACCGAAGCTCGGGCGGTGGCGGTGGCGGCGAGGACTGGGCGCTGATGCACGAGATGAGCCAGATTGACATTGGCGCAGGTCGGTCGCGGCGGCACGGGGGTTACTAAAGCTTTTCATATGAGCTTGATGTTTGTGAAATGTAAACGATAGATGTATGCTTATGATTTCATTGCATGGTTGGCGTTTGGATGTGGACACATGCCTTGCATTTCATTTCCTCTTGTCCCAATGGACGGCGGAAGGATGGATTGGGAGGTGAGCGGAGGTAATGCCACCAGGATGACACAAATCGAGACATTTCTGTTGCTACAGTAGAACTCGATACATTTGACATGGTGTATGCGTTGGATCTAGTATCAAGTCTGGCCACGTTGAGCACGGCGTGGCCGAAGAGCGTGGCCGAAGAGGAATTGTATCAAGATGGTGTAGATGGATGAGACTGGTCTATATGTCTGCTGGTGTGTCCGGTCGACTCTTACAGCCACCATCACCACCACTTCCACCGCCCACCGCCTACCGCCGGTCTTTTTTATGTAGTCTGTCCCGACTCTTTGTTTGACCCCCCCCAACGCCATCGCAATGCAGCAAAGCAAATCCAATCCTTGCTTCCCTGGCTTTTTCCCTTTTCAGCAAAGAAACAAATATCAATCAAAAGCAGAGGAGGAAAACCCAGAAGAGGTGAACACGCTGTGGGTTCGGAGCAATCCCCTCTTGGCCTTCCCCCGCCTCCCCATCTTCGCCGTGGTTTACATCGTCTCCCGGGTATATCAAAGCACACTCGTTTTGTTCTCTCTCTCGCTCCTTTTTCTTTCCTTTGTGTCGGCCGTTTCCACCGTCTCAAACAGAGGCTTCTCCATCATGAGAGTTCCACGCAAGAGGTAAAAGGAGGAAGCGAAACAGCTGAAGAGGAAAATGTGGAAAAAGAGGGGAGGGAAACTCAGGCAGCGCCGAGGATGAGGCCGTCGACCATGCCGCCCGTCTCGCACGCGGCCTTTGCCTTCTCGACCTCGCCGCCGACGCGGCGGCGCAGCAGGCGGAAGCCGTCGGCGAGGTCGGCGCTGCCGCCGGCGTACTCGGCGTAGAGCTCAATGAGGTGCATGCCGACCTCGACGCAGGCGCTGACGTAGCGGGGGTCGACGACGTGGGCGCAGACCCACTTGAGGATGGGCTGGACGGTGCGCTCGTCGCGGCCCTCGAGGGCGGCGCGGACGGCGCTGCGGTGGCGCAGGGCGAGGAGGAGGGTGAGCACCTCGAGCGGCGCCGCCGGCTGGTCGGCCTGCTTCTTGTTCGCAGCCGCCGCCGCCGCCGCTTTGCTGCCGCCCTGCTTGTTCTTGGCGGCGGCGGCCGAGTTCGAAGCCACCGAGGCCGGGTCGAGGAGGCGGTCGAGTGCCTCGGCGTAGCGGCCCTGGCGGAGGGCGCGCTGCCAGAGAGCCTCGTTCTTGCGGGCGCCCTCGCGGGGCCTCGTTGGCGATGACGACGTCGGTCGACTCGCCGGCCATGTCGAGGCGGCGCGTGGCGGCGATGCGGCGCTTCTTCTTGGGCGTGCTGCGCGTCGTGCGCGTCGAGGGTGCCGGCGAGGAGGGCGGCCATCTCACGGTCACGGTCGCGCTGGCGCGTGGCCTCGGCACCGGAGAGGCGGGTGCGGATGCTGAGGACGCCCGACTGCATGCCGACGAGGAGGTGGCGGTCGTTGCCGGCGTTGGAGCCCGGGTCGGCGCCGGCGGCGGACGCCGTCGAGGTGGACGAGTCGGAGGCGCCGAGGACGCGAAGGGTCAGAATGGGAGAGGAGTATTTCGTCGTCGACACAACGTTCCAGCCGGTCGTCTCGAAAATTTTGACGTGACCGTCGAGGCCGCCCGAGGCGAGACGGGTGCCGCCGCTGGCGAGGCACAGAGACGTGACGGTCTTCTGGTGGTTCGTGAGCTGCTGCAGGGGACGGGCGGCGACGAGGTCGAGGACGGAAATGGCGGGCCCAGCGGCAGCGAGCAGCGTGGTGCCGGAGGGCAGGGCGAGGACGTCTTCGACGGGGGCGGCGTGCTTGAAGGTCATGACAGCCTGGTTGGAGCCGATCCTCGGATCCCAGAGACGAACAGTCGAGTCGTAGCTTCCCGAGACGAGCAGGTTGGCCAGGGAGCCGGGCATGAAATCAGCGCTGCGGACGTAGTCCTGGTGGCCGATAAAGGTGTGGGTGGGCTGGTTGCTGGGCAGGTCCCAGAGGCGGACTGTCTTGTCGTCGGAAGCGCTGAGCAGGGTGGTGAGCTGCGTCTTGGAAAACCTCGTGGCCCAAACGGGCTGCTTGTGGTTCATCCACGTCTTCAGGATGGCGCGCGAGTTGACGTCAAAGACCTGGATGCGGCCAGTGTCCTCGCCGGCGACGAGGACCTTGCCATCGCGGCGGATATCACCGCTCCGGGCGACATCGGCAAAGCGGGTGACGGTCTTTTCGAGTTTCCGCGTGCGCACCGAGTAGATCTGAACACGTGTACCGGTGGTGACGGCAAAGTGCCCGTCGTTGGAGGCACCGCTGATGTGGGTGATGGGATATGTCGTGGGCGAGGGGATCTGGAGTTGGTTCTTGAAAGACTGCCAGTAGCGCTGCTCAGCCGTGACCGGCGAAGGGCCCGACGGCAGTTTGATCTGGGTGAGAGGTCCCACGGGTGCTGCCATTGTGGGTGGTGACGGGAGCTTCAAGAACGGGGTTTCGCTTCGCCGCTGTGGGTGCCTCTCTGGCTTGTCGGTCTGGGGGGATGGAAAGATCGCGAAACAGTCTTTTGCTGGTGTTTGGTTGCTGCCTCTGCTCCTGCTCGAGGAATTTCACACAAATTTCCAATGGCGCCATGTCTAAACGGGACTAGTCGATATATGATAAGGGATAAGATAAGGAAAGAACGACCCAGTTTTGTCGGTCGCGGGGCAGTGCCGTATAGCTGCATGCCATGTCGCATATTTGCATAGCCATCTAGCCCCGTTTGAGCGGTGCTGTCGACTCTGCATACGGTGCCTAGGTAGGTACCTACCCACCTGTAACTTTGCTGAACCCTGGCACACGGCCAACAGGAAGAAGGCCGAGACGCAGTCGGCAAGCTTCGTCTCTGCTCCGATCTTCTGCGCCGCCAACGTCTGGCAATTCGGCGCTTGGACTCGGAGTTTCGGACGGCCGAGACGGTTCTGCTGGTTGATGACGAACCCAGACCTGACTCGCAAGGAAGGACAGTCGAACTCGTTGAGCGTGGTAGGGACACTAGTTCACAGCACTGTTCGTGTCTACACCATCATTTCACCACCTCGAGCCGGCAGCTCAACCCCAGCGGCCCAGACACTCACCCTTGGCGCACGGCACATCGCCCGGAGTTGGGTGGGTTGGCATGCCCGACGCACACGAGACACCCCGATGGGACAGGCTTCACGGCATCGCGGCTGACGGCACCCACCAGCGCTAATGCGTGGAGGCCTTTCTTGCTGACGATGAACCATCTCTGATTGGACTCCGAGTCGGACCTGGTGCTACTGGACCGCCCCGCTCTCCATGACCAGCCATGACCTTTTCATCCTCTTGTTCGGTCTGTATCTCTGCCTTGATGGTTCGAAAGGCAGCTATAACCATGAGAGCGCCGTGATTCTCTTTCCTCGTCTTCCCGTTTCCTTCCCTCCCCCATCATCGCCCTCGCGGCAACATTGCGCATCCATCATGCCCGTCTCGGCGCCGTCTTGGACTGCGCGACTCTATGTCGAGAGCGGCGCCGCATCGCTCGTGCGGTCACCCCGCGATACCAAGATCCTCTGCCTGCAACGCTTCGTCCGCTACTTCGGATATGGTGCTACCTTTCTTATCCTCGTCCACTTCCTCTCGAGTCACGGCTTCTCCGAGGAACGAATCGGCATCTTCATGACCCTGACGCTCTTTGGCGATGTCATGATCAGCTTCATCCTGACCGCCGTCACCGACAAGCTCGGCCGCCGCCGGGTCCTGGCAGCCGGCGCTGTCCTCATGGCCATGAGCGGCTTCATGTTTGCCCTGAGCGGCAACTACTGGCTTCTCCTCGTGGCCAGCGTCATCGGCGTCATCAGCCCGAGCGGCAACGAGATTGGCCCTTTTCGCGCCGTCGAAGAGTCCATCCTGGCTCAGCTCACCGACAGGGAAGACAGGAGTGACATTTTCGCCTGGTCGACGCTGCTGGGGACTGCCGGCGCCGCCGCCGGCACCATGACGTGCGGCTGGCTGGTGCAGCTGCTTCAGGACCTCGAGCACTGGGACACCCAGGCCGCTTACCGGGTCATCTTTGTCATTTATGCCTGCATCGGCATCGTCAAGCTGTTCCTCGTCTTCTTCCTGAGCGCCGGCGTCGAGGCCGAACCCTCTCAGGCTGCCTACAGCGCTGTCCCCACCGAATTGCAGGAGGAAGACGAAGAGGGGGCCGCCTTCCTCGCCGACGACCAGTCCGATGATGGACACGACGGGGTTGTATCTTCAGCCGCGGCGTCACGGAGACGCTCGACCTCCATGTCCATGTCGTCCCAGCGCACGCTGACCGCATGGCAGCGCATACGCAACATGGTGCCGGTCATTTCGGCGCAATCGAGGTCGCTGCTTTACCGGCTCCTCGTCGTCTTCTTTGTCGACTCGTTCGCCTCGGGCATGGCGTCGCCCTCGTGGCTGACCTACTTCTTCACGACGGTGCACTCGCTCGAGCCGGGCTCGCTCGGCACGCTGTTCCTCGTGACCAACATTCTCGCGTCGCTCTCGAACCTGGCGGCGCTGCCCATCATCCGGCGCCTCGGGCCCCTCAAGACCATGGTCTTCACGCACCTGCCGTCGGCCGTCTTCCTCGCCGTCATCCCCTTTGTGCCCGCCGGCAGCACCGGCACCTGGGTCGCCATGGGCCTGCTGTCGCTGCGCGCCTGCAGCCAGAGCATGGACACGGCGCCGCGGCAGGCTTTCCTCTCGGCCGTCGTGCTGCCGGGCGAGAGGACGGCCATCCTCGGTGTCGTGAACAGCGTCAAGACGCTGGCGCAGGCGGGCGGCGTCGGCACGTCGGGCTTCCTGGCGGCGCGCAAGCTGTGGGTCGTCGTGCTCACAGGCGCAGGAACGATGAAGGTCATGTACGACCTCAGCATGCTGTGGATGTTCTGGCGACTGAAGGAGAGGGGCGACACGACGGAGAGCAAGCACACGACGGACGAGGAAGAGCAGTGAGGGTTCGCCTGCAGAAGGGGTGAGAGGCTACATGTCTGAATCAAAATTGCAGCAGCAAGCTGGCGGGGAACGTCGAAAACGTGTGCTTCCACTTTGCAGAAAAGGGGTTTGGTGGTGGTTAGCGAGATATTGATACAATGGTCATTTGCTGCCCAATCTGGCATCAACCACAACTGTGTTTTTTTTTGTTTTCCACGGACGTCATCAAGCTGCTTTCTCCACTGACATCCCATGAATGATCTGGCGCGGCAGTAGATCGCCGGGATGGTAGGGAGCGATGATGGCAGTGTTTGCAGATGTTTCCGTGCGCAGGGAGCGGCGATATGGGAACGGGGCTGTGGTCAGTGTCGGTGGACGTTGCCATGCCATCATGGACTGATGATGTTTTCTGGTCGACGCGTGTCTGTGTCTGAGCACGTCCTTTGGCCACTGCGATGCCATGTACAAGGCATGAATGGTGTGACGGGCTTGAGGCGGCAGGGAGAGAGAGCGCAAAAAAAAAACAAGCTGGCTATCCAGGGTTCCAGTTGACCAGCCAAGTACAGAACAGCATAACTCGCATGTTATAGGGGCATCGGTCCTTTAGGTACCTTTACCTTAGGTAAGGTACTTTCCTTGGTTCATGCTGTCGCTGTAGAGACGACCCATGTGTTGTGGGAGAAGGAGCCCAACAGAGACGGCCAATCCAATCGGCAGGCACGTCCCGCGTCGTGATGCAACGGCGGGGGCTTGCACCTGCGCAGTGGTGTTGCACGTAGACGGTACAATGACACAAGGCTTTCGGCGTGACAGGCCCCACCCCCGTCCATTGGGCCTTGGGTGTGGGCCTTGGGTGCTCAAGGTGCCGTCAACCTTTGGGCATTGGACCTTTCGGGCGTAACGTAAAAAAAGTGAGGGGCCCCCGCTAACCGCAGCAGTGTGACCAGGCCGTCCTGACCACTGACGACTGATTGTGCCTTGCCTACCACCTACCTAGGTACCTTACCTTGACTTTACTTGACCACAGACGTGCTCCCTCCCCCCCCCTCCTCATAACCATTCAAGTCTCGACTTTTTTTCCCCTTCTGCCAAGAACGATACGAACCATTGAACCCATTTTTCTCGAGCAGCAAAATAACCACATCCATCAGACATCCTTAGAGGCGCCTCATTCAATATGAACCCTCACCAGAAGAACAAGGTCGACGTCTCGGTACGTAGTTCTGCCCCTCCCCCTCCCGCCCTTCCCCTCCTCCTCTGCGTCGAACCCAACGACATGACTCGCCATGGTGCATCAGCTTCCAAGCTATCACCAACTCCTCGCAAGCCCACGGCACGGAGACACGAGCTGCTCCTGTTCAAATCAATGTCACCATGACGGGAAACAAAAAGCTGACATCTGCCCCCTTCCCCGCCATCAGTCCCTCACCCCCGAGGAGCAGCGCCTCTTCCGCCTCTACGGCAAGCTCCCCTCCCGCTCCGACCACTTCGCCAAGCACCTCAAGGACCGCAAGTACTTCGACTCGGGCGACTACGCCATGTCCAAGGCCGGCAAGGGCGACGGCGTCGACGCCGGCGCCGTCGGCTCCCAGCACCCCGTCCCCGAGAACATCCCCCACCTGTCGAGCCCCGTCAACGGCTCCGGCGCCCCCTCGGGCGTCGGCGGTGCCAACGCCGCCGCCCAGAAGCACCACGGCAGCATCGCCGCCGGTGTCTCGGCCGGCAGCCCCGTCAAGGAGTCGAGCTTCCTCAACCGCGAGACGAGCGCCGACGGCGCCGACGACGGTGCCGCCGCCGGCCTGCCCGAGCCACAGGGCACCCCCTCGCCGGCGTCCAAGACGGAGGGCATTCCCATTCGGCGATAGGCGAGGAGAGAGCATACCATGACGCGTCGGGGCAACGGATGCGTGAACACTACTCACACGGGTGGGGGGAGACCTAAGTCGCGGGCGGCAAACGGGTGTTCCGGCAGAATCACCCTCATGATTTTACGAAGGGGCTTGATTTGATGCGATTTTATTTTTGCGGCGTTGGGACGGACTGGCACACTACGAAACTACGAAAGAGAGAAACGGAGAGTGGCAGGGACAGAGACGGTGCGGGGAAGGTGTGCGTTATTGGGGCTCAGATACGGACGAGCCAGTTTCCTCTGTCATATCTTGTTTCGTCCTGCCAGAGCTGAACTGTTGTGTACGTTGTGTGTTGATGTGCAGTCTGCTTTGCGTCTTTCATAATTCCTTGTCAGTGATTCAACTTGGTCCGGGTTATCAACTTCATGCCTGACACTTCTCTCGATTCCTCAGTCCGTCTTCCCCAGGATCCAAGTCACAAATACTAGTCTATCGAAAAAGACTGGCAGCAGTGTTTTCACGGCACAATCTAGGTACTAGATGGCAAGAGCCATCACGCTTCTCAACAGTATGGAGTCTGTAGTGGGGGGGCCTAAATAGCCTCGTATTTTGAATATGAAGCGAAAGAAAAGAAAAAAGTGTAG